GACGCTGCTCCTGCTGTTTGATATCGTAATAATGCCTCAGATCACCCTTCTCCCCCCCTTCCTGTAACTCAGAAGTCCCAGAAACCCCTCTTCCCTACACGGTGTCCAAGATGGATTGACTTAAAGGACCGTTTGACATTACTGACATTGCAGCTTCAGCGTTTAAAACAAACATACAGTATCCAACTCGGAACACTCCACCAGTACCAGATACTTTCAGGTTACAACCTCCGTCCCATTAACCCCGCTGGCACAGAGTGAACGCCACGCCACCTATGATATAAGGTGGAGGCTGTTTTCGCAGAGCCTATCCAAATGTTGGTTCCCATGGTCTGTACAGGGCATGGAGAGGGTTTGTGGACCAGCTGATTTTCCTCTGCAGTGGAAAGACAAAGACGAAGAGACAGGGGGGCTCACGGATGAATGGCATTCTCTGCCACCTAAACCCCCCCGGAGCTCCAGCGCTTGTTTGGCCTCATCAACACCTTTCAGTTACACAGGAGTTTACTTCCTGCCCTGTTCTGTAATGTGCTTACAGTTGCAAAATATTCAAATGAAAAAAGGGTCTCTAAAATAAAAAAAGCTTGAACCCCGGTCTGGGAACCTGTTCCGAAAAACTGCCGACATCTATAAATTATTACTGAATCAAGCAAGTGATCTGATCAGTTGAGAAAGCTCTGGTCCTTGGGCTGCTGAGCACAGGGTCCTTCGTGATCTGCTCTACAACAACCACACCGCAGAAAAGGTTCTGAATTACCGACCGGGGCCGGCTCCGAACACGAGGGCGGGAGGGGAAAGATAAACTTTAGTACTCCCGCAAACTGCTGACTCGGCGTTTCAGCGTATGAAGCGTGAGAGTTCATTTCAGCCAAACAATCGAACTAAAGTATGTCTTACTGCCTTTATACATTCTGCACATGGTTTACTGTTCAACTGTTAAAATACGGGACTAGTAAGGTCAAGTCCTTTCCAACAGAAACGCAAAATAAGGGTAACTGAACAACTACATTCGACCCCGCTTCTGCAAAAGAGAACAGTAAGTGCCTACAACTCCCACAATTCACAGGGGGGCTTCATTTCCTGACCACTTCCGCTCTCCGGTATAAACCTTCCAATCAGCGAGCTCTGAGTCGGCTGTATCCATGCGGTTTCCAGGAAGTGAGTTTAACCGGAATTCCAACCGAGTCCACCCAGCTATCTTCCTCTCCCACGTGAGCCCTGCTCTCACCACGCGCAGGGGAGAGCAAGCCGGCTCGAGTCTAGAGGCGACGTCACAGAGCGCCGGAGGAACTCGCACGAGAAGCGGCTGAATCGCAGAGCCCGAGCGGAGCGGCGGAGCCAGAGGCAGGTACCCGGCGGGGATGGCGGGGCCCGCGGAGCGCGGCCAGTCGCACCAGGGCACTGACAGGGGCTGGGGCCCGGGTTTTCGGGGGCTTTACAGATCCCAGTTCCCGTGTAGGGGGAGGGAAGCGGGCTGGGCAGGGTTGAGCAGGGAAAGTGGTGGGCTTTAAGGCCTGGGAGGAATCGGAGGGCCAGGCCGAGCCTCGTCCTTTCCTGTGAAGCGCTGCCGGGTGTAGGGCCTTCAGACTGGGCTACATCGGGTGAGCCGGGCGGGAAGGAGCCGGCGCTGTTCCTCTGCTGGCTGGCAGTAGCCCTGCCGGTGTGCTTGAGTCTCTCTGCTCACCCGTGTCTGCCCCTCTCTCTCCCGTCCTGCCTGTTAGGTGCCGAAGCGATCACAGGGAAGATGGCGGACGACCCGAGCGCAGCGGACAGGAACGTGGAGATCTGGAAGATCAAGAAGCTGATCAAGAGCCTTGAAGCGGCCCGAGGGTGAGAAGGGGTCCCGGGGGGAGTGGGGAGGGCGAGGTCGGGGAAGGGAGGCGCCGGGCGGCCGGGGGTGAGCGGTCGCCCTCGCCAGCTGTTGGCAGAGGAAGGTCCACGCCGCCGCGGCCGGGCT